AATCACGGTTTCTATTGGAACGACGCGATGGAAGAATGCGGGTGTACGGACGTCGACATGAACGTTTCGCCGACGCTTGCGTTCCCCAGGTGGACAGATTCAGCCGGGAAAGTGTTATGATGTGGGGAGCGATCACCTGCCGTAGGAGAAGTTATTTGGTGATGATCCAGGGCAACCTGACAGCTCAACGGTACTGTGACGAAATCCTACGCCCACACCTCCTTCCAATCATTGATCGCCAGAGGGAGTTGTTTCAACAGGTCAATGCCAGGCCCCACACAGCACGTCACACTGGAGACTTCCTCCAGAGCCACAATACAATGTACTCCCCTGGCCCTCAAGATCACCGGACTTAAACCCGATCGAACATCTGTGGGATGCCCTGGACAGACGGGTGCGACGCCATAACCCTCAGCCCCAGAAACTTCAGCAACTTCACAGGCACCACAGGCAGAGTGGGCTGCGATTGGGCAACACGAGATTCTGAGACTTATTCGATCGATGCCGAGGCGATGCCGTGCAGTTCTGGATGCCCACGGTGGTCACACGAGGTATGACCTCAGCGCCACCACACGTCTCCATGTGACACTCAAACATTTTCCTCGCGTTGGTTCCTCGAGATGTTTCAAAATAAACATAAAAATACAGTTGAAATTCCTATATGCGTTTCTTTTTTTGGGAGAGTATATATTCTATTTCAATGTCAAATGTTCTCGTCACGATATGGCTGAAATATTGCCGATGTAACGTTAAATAATAACTGACTGACTCTACCTATATCATTTGAAATGTCGCTTTAAAAATGTCGCCCATAACCGATGTTCATAATGTTTATCACTGGATTGTCTGATCCAGACCCGATTATTTACAGACCGCGGCCATATAGCTGGAATATTGCTGAGTGCGGCATTAAACACAAAACAAACCAACAAACCCCAAAACTTGTTCATTGCAAATGTTTAATGACTGTCCGTCTCAGGACTCGATAATCGCGGATGGAATTGCAACACATGAGCCGAGTGTAGCGTTCACGAACAGGCAATTATTCGTCTCTCAGCAAGACCAAGCAGAGTATGCAATTTCAAACTGCAACCCGTGGCATGCAATCACCGCATCCTCAGGCATTGTGCAGCTGTAACTACCGTGAAATATACAGTTCCATGTAATACATATGTGTGGTGGTGGTGGTGGTGGAATTGGGTTTAACGTCGTGCTTGAGAATATTTCGCTCATATGACGACGTGCATGCGTGTGTATGTGTATATGCGGCTGCTTGCACTAGCCCAGACTGAAGCTGGTTTTATAGTGCTAGCCCACTGAGAAACCATGCCGCAGTGAAGCATGAATACCCCACTCTGACACATTATACTGACTCCGAGCCAACCAGTCCTTGTTGTACCCATTAATACCGAGCGCCAGGCAGGGACCAACAAGTACCATATTTTAACGTCTTTTGGTATGACGCGGTCGGGGATCGCACCCGCGACCTTCCGCACTCCGGGCGGACGCTCTAACAACTACACCACGGAGGCGGTCTAATACATATGTGTGTGGATTGGACAAAAGACATACCAAGTTATATTGGCTTAACTTCTTTGCTATATTTCATACAACTACATACTTACAACTGGTAAATCTACATCAGAGAAGGATCAACATAACAAGAAATTTCCCACTTGTAAGCTGATATCAAAGTCTGTGTTGAGAGTTCAATGTTTCTTTCCATCAACGTGACACAAACAGTCAACAGTGAGGGGAGAAGCTTCTTGATTCTGCTTATAAAAGACGTATTTTCATGTCTTGACGAAAGAAGTTGTACAGATACTCCCCATTGATGTTGTAAACATGCACTGTACGGTTACGTGTTTCCAGATACATATAGTCCCGATATATCCTAAGGTTGGCACATGGTTCTTCGTTTCCTATCAGTAGTACTTTCTTCTCTCTGGTACCTGTTGAATAGATATAAACCTGGGGACCACCATTCCACCATGCTAGTACCCTGTTGGTTACCGAGGCTGCCAACCGGGTTACTTGATCTTCCAACTCCATCCATCTCCGAACGTTAGGTATTTGATCTACATAGTTGACACGGTACAGGATCTTATCTCTGATGAAAATGATTTCTGTACGAGAGTAGTCTATTGTTAGAGAATCGAAAGTACACATTACTACATGTGCCGGAAGATTTCGTAACAACTTCTTCACGTGCACACATTCACTTTTGCGGACGGTAATGTAGATCAGAAAGCCCTTGTCATACCAAACCGTTTTACATTGATTTTTGATGATTTCAGTTTGTTTGGGATTTCCTCGTTGGCATTGAGAGACACAATCATGTTTCCTGTGCAGGATTACTCTACACATCTTCATATCAATAAAAACAGCGTTGACATTACCTCTCACCTGTATTCCCAGGTTGACAAAATGTCCGCGATGCGCCAAATGCGCATATACTTCGGTCTTTATTCCAAATGAAATTGAATGTCCGTATGCCATCACTGGGTTCGAACTCAACACATGTCTGTAATCTGTAACCAGATTGGTACATCTACATCTTCTGTTTTGATGGGCTAAAGACTTTCTCCAGAATGACCTTGATCCGGTATGTTTATTCCGCTTTCTATTCCTGGCTGGTTTAATTTGTGGTCTCTCTGTTGTTTTTATCCCGGTGAAATCACTAGTACAAACCGGTCCGGTGAGTGCAGGTGGTGTATTTCTTGGTGACAGTTTCTTATCCCTTGTCGAATGTTCCATGATAGAACTCATCACCTTTGATTTCTGATCGGTTGAGTTGACATGAGCCTTTCGTGAGCGTGCCAGGCACCGTTGAACTGGGGCGTCAATGCACGGCATCCGAGTGACTGCGATGTTTGTGGACGACCTTTGCACATAAAATGTGCAAACCAATGAGATGTTTGTTGATTTATGAACACAAATACTCTGACATCCTTCCATTGCCCCGCATCGGTATAAACAGAGACGATAACTAAATGTTGAACGGAATATCTCCTGGGTGATCACATGGTCATCTGGAATAGGTTCAGAAATCTGTGTCCACTTCGAAATTAAAATCGAGGCTTTTGTCAGTCCCAGAACAGACAACAACAGAATATACATCTTGATCAGAATGCTGAAACTTTCCTGCTGTTCCTTTCGTTAAACATTGGTCTCGATTCCAGATCAGACTTTGTGTTTATAGGATGGGAAAAGCTTATCTGAGTTGGCATTTCCGATGTCATCGTCGTTCCGATGTACATCTCTAAAATCAATCTCATCTTTACAGCCTTATCTGATGACCATTAAGTACATATCCAATTACGTGTCAATTTAGGAGCTGCCCAGTAACTTAAACAACCATCTACTTTATGGATATTTTTGTGCTACTAAACAGGCAACTCCACTGTCTTTAAGGACCGGTAGAATCACTGGATGAGGAAGTGCAGATATTTGTTGAGACAAACGTGACAAAGTATTGAAGAATGATCAATTTGACGGACACATAATCTTATTCTTTTCATTTATGTAGGTTTAATCCTTAAGATATTAGATGCTTTTTGGAATAGAAAGAAGGTTTAAAAAAACGAACTGTTCAAAATGTAAATTTTACATAAACAACTATGATTTATTTTTTTAAGATTTAACTTGTGTGATATAAACAGTTTATAAAATGATAGCTTCGTAGAAATGAGTGAGTGAGTATGGTTTTATGCCGCTTTTTAGCAATATTTCAGCAATATTACGACAATTTCGATTGTGAGGTACCAGAAATATGTGTAGCTGAGCCCTTTCCATGGGTATGTTCAGTACCCTGCCTCAAAAGTGGCCACATTTATGTCTTTATGTCACTGCCCCTCTTCCACTGTCATTTTGCTATTTCTTTACAGAATAGCATTGAGTGTGTTTAAGTCATTTAAGATTTTAGTATTGCTAATCGCCAGCACACAAAGTCAGCCGCCTTACCCGCTCAGCCACCGCGACTTCCACATTCTAAATGACATTGTGTAATCATTGAGTGTTTAAGTGAGCTCAAAGTCATGCTTCACCAAGGGACAGTGTTAAGCCAAGTCATTGCGGATAGTTTCCCGCACTTCCCTTTACCCCGTCTTAATATCTCATCTTGCCTGGCAAATATACATATACAGATATGAGTATTCCGGTGTTGCAGTAGGTGCTTGTTGTAACACCTGCCATAACGTGAAACAAAAAGTTTGCTTCCGGGAAGAGAGACCCGTGAAGATCCGGGTTAGAATTATCCTTCAGTAACCCATGCTTGTCGTAAGAGACGACTAACGGGGTCGGGTGGTCTGGCTCGCTGGCTTGGTTGACACATGTCATCCAGATCGATGCTCATGCTGTTGATCACTGGATTGTCTGGTCCAGACTCGATTATTTACAGACCGCCGCCATATAGCTGGAATATTGCCGAGTGCGGCGTGAAACTAAACTCACTCACTGCGGGAAAGACGTAACCTTTCATGTCGCGAAATATCCAGGAAATCATCTACTAGAAGTATTACTGTGAGTTATCAAAGTCGATTCCCACCAAACTCACCATGACCGATTCATTTCTTTGGTTCTATATGTGTTCACTATTTGAATCAGTTATGGTCACTGTTTTCACATTTGTAGTATTTTGCAGCCACACGACCACAATGTTTGTTTCTCTTCTGTTTAAACATCCATGCCACAAGCGGGATCCGGGGTCAATGGGTTCGAATCTGAGCCTCTCAAGTTATGATTCTTGTTATTTTTCAAAATATACAATTACAGAAGCAAAATTAAAATAACACAAGGATTTTTCTATAAGATTTAAATACAACCATCTGAATTGTTCCTTCTGATTCATACAACATGGGCATAATACGTTCCTCTTGTGTTCCCAACAGTGATATTACTGAAATAACCAATAGTGCTGAAAGCGGAGACAACCTTGCACCCTCACTCCCTCTTCTGAAATATCAACCTTTTGATGAAAAAATGAAAACCAAAGCAACTGATTTCAATGCAGCTGTTTTATTCCTGTGCGGTATACAACCACATAAACATCTATGCATTCATCCATGTCTGAACACGCCAACAACTGAATACAACTCCACACTGTTGTGACTGTGCGTAACGTTCTACTCCTATGTATGTACACTATAGACACACCCGAAGGGCACTCTGTACATCATACAAGCTGCTTCAACAATACAGCTGTGGCCTGACTTACAGAGGTTGCTATTATGGATGATGGTCAGTCACTCGAGGCCCCAAAAATGACACGACCACCCAGTAGCTACCATTCCTATACACCATCTAATGGTCACCATCCCTGAACCCGACTCAGATATGATCCTGTTCTTGAACTCAACCCAGTGGGTTTAGTGCATCAGAACAGGACGTAAACTAAACGTAAACCTGTTCCTGAACTCAACCTAGTGGGTTTAGTGCATCAGAACAGGACGCAAACGTAAACCTGTTCCTGAACTCAACCCAGAGGGTTTACTGCTCCAAAACAACAGACAAAAACCAAACTTGTTTTTATTCCTGACCAAACTGATACCAATGCTTCATCGCAGTTGAAATGGTTGCCATGACTTATCACTAGGTGGGTGACACGCCGATAGGATTAGTTGCTCTGAGCTTTGTTCTTGTGCCCAGGCGTGGTCAAGAACGATTCATCTGACTAGATCATGGTTTGAGAAGAAACGCGCATTTTCCAGCTGACTATATCTTCTAGTATCCCATGAAAGTGGATGTTCTCGAACCACGTGTCAACATCATGGTTACGATTGATATCCCCTGCACTGCACTCAACAAAAGATATTTGTTATATCTGTCAGTTCCTGAACTGAAAGCAGCTTAACAACTTCAAAAAACCTTTCCACAAATCTGTACCTTCTCATCAAGCGTTGGAGGTTGCTAGCAGCTCTTTGAGCTTCTTTAAAGATCCCTGTGTTCCAACTGTTTCGCATTGAAGACCCGGGGCAAGCCAGGAACATGCCATGGAATCCCTGCCCTAAAGCCACGTCTTTAAACGTTACCAACATAACAAGAAACTCTGACTCTTTTCACCATCTCAGTAAGTACACAAGAAAACCAACAAATTCATCCATAATAGCAACTCCATGTCTTTGCGTAATAAATATATAATGACCACAAATTTGTGAAGATATATCACTGGAAACTTAACAACAAAATAATGCTTATAACATGTGCCAAGTGACATATTGTGTACAGCCTACTTTTTACCATTAAGCTGTGACTGGTTCCTAACACACATCAGAGTGATCTCCCTTTAAATGGCACTACGGACTCATGGGTAATTCCACAACTGGATGCCATCTTGAATATAAATGGGGTCTGTTATGCATGGAAACCCAGCAAAATACACAGATAGGTTCCAATTAAGAATGTATATGCGTCCCTGTTGCACTGTGGTTCGTCACCTTACTAAGAAAATTAAAGGTAAATTTATTATGGACATTTTATCGGTATTTCCAAATGTTGAGTTTCGTGTTCAAAGTGTCAAGAATCTTTTATTAAAAGAGAACCAATTTATTTAAACAGTGATTTATCCAATATTCAATCAAGTTCATAAAGTTGTGTCATTTTCTAAACAGTGCACAAATGGTGGACAATGAAGGGCGGAGTTTGACCCATTTAGATTCTGACCCATTTAGATTCAAGATTAAGCACATGGCCAGGAGATTGCATGGCTAAATATGACAGTTGTCAGACTACAGTCTAAGAATAACCTTATAATCCTCAAAACACAACCTGTTAATATTATGGCATAAGTAACTGCTAGATATTTATCCATGTTAGAATGATTTCAATATTATGCTGAAAGACCACTAAAGGACTTTTACATCAAGTTACATAAATCATACTCCTTGTCTCAGTCAATGCCATGTCTGAATGTTGAAGATTCAGGCCAAACATGATCATTACAAAAAATTAATGTGAAATTTCTCGAAACTTCTCAGAAACAACTCCTCTGTATAGCATCAAGCCCGAAAGTTAAGCATAGATGGACCTTTTTCTGACAAGTAGACAAACAATTGCAAAGCGTGGTTTCCCTCTGTGCGTCTTTCACACATCACTGATTACAAGTACCACACAGGGCAATTGTGTGGAGGGCATGTGCCACACAGGGAATCTTGACCCAGATCAATTAATTTGCCAAGTGCCACAGAGACAGGTGCCACAGAGGGCATATACCATTACAAGCTGTCGGCAACTGGAATGTCATGCAACATGTTTAACATAATGACCAGCATGCAAATCCAGGTAGCCGAAGATCAGGAACAATCGGGACTGAATAGCAGTTCTTTGGATGTCCTCAATGACTCTGTGACGTGACACTTGCCTTCTACCGTGATTACATGGTGATGTGTCACAACAGTATTTCAGCAAATCTTAGTTTTTAACCAACAACTTTTCACTTCACTGGCAAGTTTCATTCAATGTATCAGTGTAATTGGAATTTCGACTATGCTTAACTTTTGGGTATGACTGTACTATGTTATGTTGCTTCCTGAAGTGAAAAAATTTAAATAATTCACATTATTAACTTAAATAAAGATCAGATGAAAATCAAAATGGTCCGTCCTTATGGCTTGGTGACTTATCACCGAAATTTTGTTTAATCTTTTTTGTTGATGTTAACAGTAGACTTCTTGGTTAACCGACTGATTTTTCACAGTTGTAACAAAATACTTTAAAACAATACACTTTCTAAATGTACAATGAAACAAGACACTATAAGAGCATGTACCATGTTACAGTCTTTATATCACTGTATCATTACACACGTAACAGTGTACCATAATACACTCTATATATCACTGTATCATTACACATGTGACACTGTACCATGATACACTCTTAATATCACTGTATCATTACACACGTGACATTGTACCATGATACACTCTTAATATCACTGTATCATTACACACGTGACAGTGTGCCATGATACATACATTGTAGCCATACTGTAACATTCTACCATGACAATGATCGTATAACAGTCTATGCATACGTATTTGCAAACACTGTGTTGTGATACACATTTTGTACGAGCATACCACGCTCCATGTATTGCAACACCATGTCTTGCACTGGAGTACCATGACGGGGTATACCACTGACTGAAGTTCCTTTTTCTCAGAAACAGACATGGACAAATTGAGGCACATCTGTTACCATGGGAACCTGTGAATATGTTTGCATACATTTCTGAAAACTTCACACAAATACACATAACACTATACACTGATCATACAAGCTGACGCAGCTAATTCAAAAAATATATTTTGATCTAATTGCAGCATGTACATATTAAACAGATCCTACACAGTGACATAATCATCTCAATCATGTGAATTGTTCAGGGGCCATCTCAAATATGAAATGAAGTTTTTCGGTCGTAAGATCCAAACCAACAGATTTTTTTACTTTCGCATCTCGACATTAAACAGACGAGTAACCTACAAAAAGAAATCTGCGGAGCCATCCGTATACTAAATGAACACACTAGAACTTGCATATCAATGCCATTTATGCTTGTAACCGTAAAACTTCATGAAAAATGATGACAATTAATGAGACAACCCCGAGCAATAATATACAAGGCATTGTGACTATGGCCTTGAACATGGTAACCTAAACATAAATATATGAAGGCGTTTCCTATTCTCGCGGTACTTTCGGATATCGGCTGAAAAAATAACACAAACAATTCTTATCGTATGAATGCTTGTTGTGTATAAATGAAGGGCCTTCTCCTCGAACATCTGCATCTATCAGCTGCTAGATGATCAGGTGAATTACCACTTGTGAGCCCGGTGATAAACAATTCCATCCGTCTATGACGAAATGAGGCTTCTTCCATTCTCGCAGTTTAACGAGGAAGTAACGTTATGGGGTGTAAGAAGAGCAATCCTGCCGAAAAGGCTGGGAAGAGTTATGATATGTCCAAGTTGGTATAAACTCTCCAATATTCGTGACATTGCAAGATTTTGATGACTTGGGCCACTTCCTAGTTACCGATCGGCATGGTTAACAACCGCTCTGTGTCGTGCATCAGCAGGAAACGTGTTTACCGCGAGAATAGGAAACCCGCGAGAATAGGAGACGGAACTATACAATCTACACGTACAATTATAAATACTGCTGTATCCATAAATATATCACCACTGCTTTACTTTGTAAACCCTGTTTGATTAAAGAACCGTCATAGATCATGACTTTTGATATGGTAGTCTAGCTGCTATCTCCACAGCAACACAACGGACATTCTCTCATAGGTGCTTGTAAGTTTTGATTTACAGTGAAGGCTGTGCTTAGTTCTCAGGCTGCTTTCGTTGACAGGTTACTCAGCTCCATTGGAGAGGAATACCATTTCATCAAATATATCGATTCCATGGGCGGATCCAGGAATTGAAAAAAAGGGGGAACTTCGAACCCCAGAACACCCCCTACCCCTGGCTCTGCCAACGCAAATACAAAATCTTCAATGTGGTGTTAAGTCATTTTAAAAAAGGGGCGGGGGTTGGGGTGTTTTTCGAACCCCCTGAACCCCACCCCCATTGGATCCGTCCATGGCTTCCTGCTATTAACACAGTCGTTGCTTGAGAACCAATTGTTTTGGTTTTAGCCTAAACATAAAGAGCTCCACACACTGTTTCATGACAAAAAACACACAGATTGCTCACTGTTGCATAAAGTAAGACGCTCTCTGTACAACAACAAGCTTCCTTCTGTACAACGATAACCTGTCAGGAAGCCTCTACAATCCTACACTGCCTACTTCTTTTGGCTTTCGTAACATCGGAAAAAATCCAATAACAAAAATAAATGGAAACACGTATGATGTACACCTTACATTCAATCTGCATCAACAAATATAACTATGTCCACCTGATACTTAACATGGCGTGATGGTTACCATGGTTACATTTCAAGGCTTGTCTTTGGCATGACGTTCCTGTGACACTCTATAGACCAGCTTCTGTAGTTTCGACAGATGAGGTGTGAATCAATATGAGATTTCTGACAGAATTTGTGAAAATACAGCTATTTGATCAGAAAACAACTATAAGTAGTTACAATATTTGAAACACTCTTGTGGGGAAATTCTTAAGGTGTAGTTGTTGCGCGAGACACTTCTACCCACATCCAAATGAAGCTTGCTGTTATGCATTAATTCTGGAGACTGGAGATTGAGTACTGGGCACTGTTTTAGTCATCTTCACAATGGGCAGACCAAAGTAGCCAGGTGTTTTCAGCGGTGAGAACTAACAATCACACATTGTATATAATAGGAAAATAGAAAGTTTTCCATAACACGGTATGCCAAATCTCGGGGGTGAAAATATCTCCACCTAGACCAGATGCAGTGTCTGAAGAAAATGTTCCTGATTTCCATCTAAAGATATAATTAGTAGGGGTGTCACGATACACCAATCTCACGATACGATACGTATCACGATTTTAAGGTCACGATACGATACGTATCGCGATACATAACTTTCGCGCCTTTTCTTAGCATTACCTTACCGGCAACGTACGCGCTCGCTGATTGGTCCATCAAAATAGTCTAGCAAATCACAAAAGCTGTTAGTTTCCAACCTATTTTTTAAGTAAAGCTATCTACATCTATTTATCGGAGCGGTCTCGTATAATTTTACTATCAAGACTTTGAAGGAGATAGAAATAGCATAAAAATTTGAATCGATAAAGTTTTAAAATAGGAATCGATACACGCAAGCATGTATCGCGTATCGTATCGTCAGTAAAAAATGTATCGATGCATCGATACATTCGCGTATCGCGACACCCCTAATAATTAGTACAAGGTGAAAATATTTTCAGCTTTACATGACCAGATGTGTATGACCAGGAAATGTGAATGTCAACTGTGTAAAAGAAGAAAGATTATTGATTAGAGCGAGAGTAAGTGTTGCATCCTGAACCTGCAGGATTAACCCTTCCAAGATGAGTGAGTGAGTGAGTTTGGTTTTACGCCGCTTTTAGCAATATTCCAGCATCATCACGGCGGGGGACACCAGAAATGGGCTTCACACATTGTACCCATGTGGGGATTCGAACCCGGGTCTTCAGCGTGACGAGCCAACTCTTTAACCATTAGGCTACCCCACCACCCCCCTTCCAAGATGAATCCCAACTGGCAAATAACCTCTCACGAGGTCAAGGTCAGTCCAAACATGGCAACAGCAAAGATTGCTACAGCTCATCAACTAACTACAGGAATCACTTAATATTGTTGTATCAGATAATAACATCATGATAAATATGTCGCATCCACTTTGGCCTAGTGAGGTTTCTGTTGAATAAAAGTTGAAGAGTTACCTCCCTTGGTAAAGAGACCAAATGATTGAGTTTTCCTTATTTGTACAATCTCCGACTTTCATCATGGCAGCAATTATCATGTAATGGACAATGTCAGTGATAAATCAATGAAACTGTTTTTTCTACTATCTTGTGATGGAGCATGTCTCCCAAACACAGCCAGCTGGGGGAGGCATAACAGACTGATTTCATCACTCACTATCCACACCAGCCTGTCATCTTGTTTCCATCATCTGACAATATGCAGGCCAGAGTAGCCTCCCTTAGCTACAACCCATGATGCAACAGAAATGCTGTCCTACAACCATGACCAAGATTTGCTTTTAAGTGAAAATAATTCATTACTGGATTCAGGGGTATAAAAGTGCACTTTGGCAGGACAATTGTAAAACAATTATTCTCTGAAAATAGGTCTTCTAGATATTTTCCTGTATTGATAGGTTAAATGTATATAACATTAAAACAAATGCAATATTGCCAACCTGAACATTAAACCATCCTCCTGTTCTTCTGTCCAGTTTAGCCGTAAAACATATGATATATTTGCAATAGCAAGAATCAGAAAGATATTGCAAATTAGGAAATGTAACTGCCATTTGTGGTATGATATTGTCTTTTTAGCAAGATAGACCCTCGAACACTATTTGTCCACAAACAGCAGCCTTCCTAGAATGCCCAGCTCTTAATAATGATTCTGAATTGGTTGTAAAACTGATTTTGGACTAAATCATTCTAAGAACTCATTATGGACCTTTAACCCCAGAAACTTCACATCTCTTAACAGTGGTTACCATGGTGATGCAACATCAGTATGTCTCCTCATCCACTGAGAAGCTATTTTAGCACTTCCTGTTTCACCTAGGTGCAAAACTGATTAATGGACACAGGCACGACTAAAGGCCACAGTGATTGTGTAGATAATGATTGTCCTTATCTCATCTTTCCTCTCGGCCTTTCTTCATATAAACTTAAAACTTGTCCCTCTACGTAAATGTTCAAAGGGGAAAATCCATAAAACAGAATGGCCAGTAACACACTCTGACGTCCACTATTTGCACCTGCCATGTTGCAGCGAGTGTTGCACAACACTGGATGATATGATTTGCAATCTGTCTAAACACACTGTAACATGCATGCCAACACAAAATAGCACTAAGACACCATTCGTTGAGAGAAGATCAGGTCAGGTCCATGTGTTCTTCGGTCAGTGGACCGAAGTAGGCTTGGGTTGCATGTTCCATTCCATCGTTGCCACGTTCCCCCGACGACTGTGCTTGCACCAAGTGAAGAAGGACTTGTGTAGATTGGGCTATCATTGTTATTCATTTGCGTGTGAAAGAAGGACATTTTGGATGATTCATGAATAGTTGGGGCAGGCATTGCCTTGAATTGTTGGTCAAAGTCTGCTTTAGAAACCGGAGGATCAGATGACGTGGAGGTCATGGTCGTGTCATGACCCAAGTGTGACCCCTGTTCGGAAGTCTCCTGGTATCTCATCCACGGTGACTTGGACTCCTGTGATTTCAATGCTGACCCTTGTTCCAACTGAGCCAATATGGCCGCGTCTGCTCGCTTGAGGGGAGTCCAGGGAAGGTACTGTGACTCGGTAGAGGAGTATCCTTGTGAAGTGTTTGGCTGGGAAATCATGGGGGTAAGAATTTCTTGTGGCTTGGGGGTTGGGACGTCCAGTGGGGTGGGGGTGTCGAAAGGGTTGGGAGGGAGGGGAGAAGAGAAGCCAGTCGAGGTGACAAGGTCTTGATGAGGCTGGGAGATGAGATTCTCGGCGTATGGATAGCTCTGTAAACCCGACTGACCAGGTCCGCTGTGCCCAAAGTCGATGACCGGCATGTTCTGTGGGTCTATGTGGAGCTGCTGAAACTGATTGCTCAGCTGGCCATGTTTCTGAAACGTCTGTCGTTTCTGCTGCAGTCGATGCTGCATCAGCTGATGCTGAAGAGGCTTGTTGGTCATGTGGAACTCCATCCCCCCGTAGCCTCCGCCAACCCCTCCATGAGGGTGGACATTGTCCTGGCTGCCCACACGGTCCATCTGCTGCTCGACCTGCATGGACTGCTTAAGAGCCAGGAGGCGATGAGGCTGGATGTCAAAACTCTCTGATGGCAGGCTCATTCGCTTCATCAGGGGACGTCTTCTTGGAGGATGAACGGGCTGCTCATCAAGCGACCATTGTCTGAAGGACGGGTGGTGGGGAGCAGACAGCTTGCGATGGGGCAGGGGATGGGGATTGGGAGGCACCGGGATATGTTGCTGAAACATGTTCTGAAGCTGCTGATGCTCCTGTCGCAGCTCCACCATACCTTTTGCTCGCATACTTTCTCGCAAACGCTGTCGGAATGCTATTATTCCTTGCGCTACGAGTCCATCAGACGCTCTCCTCCCTTCTCTGAAATTCACAGGAGATCGTGTCTGACTCCGATCTTGAGTTGGCTCATCAGCCACTTGCGTGTTAATGTTTGTATCACCGGGATTTGACGCCACGCTTGTGGACGATGGACTGTTACACCGAGTGCCCACCTGCAGTAGGCTCGGGTTGCCATGGACACCATTACTACAATTACTTCCACTAGAATACATAGGGCTGGATGCATTATACGCACATGAACTGAAACTACTCTGAACACAAGAAGTGAGACTAGAATTGACATCAGCCTCTAGGGAGGAATCAAAGCTTGCGAAGGGAGACTGTAAAGATCCTGCCGCATTGAGAGACGTGCTACTGTTATTGCTGAGTAGATTGCTTATATCTCCATACATACAGCTGGGCACGAGCGCGGGGGCCATCACATTCCCGTCTGTAGATTGTCGATGATGCAAGTCACTCTGAGAGTCTCTATCTAAAATGTCCACCTCGACACCTTCATCAATAGACGTCGTGATCACATGCCCCGCCACAGATTGCATTGTTTTCAAGAAAGGTGGTGGCAGGACATCATGTAAACAGTGCGGGATGCTCGTCGGAGGGACAATGTCGAGGTCTAAGGTTGGATGTTTAACGGCCAACAACTGCGGGGGTTGAACTGGTGGACTGGCACAGTCTGTAGTCCTGCTGAACACTCCTTGCTTGACGCTGCCTAGTGACGGACGATGGATGCTCCCTGGGTGGGCCTTGCTCCTCATCATGGCTTGTTCGGCAATCGTACTTGGGCGACGGCGTCGGGCATCGATTCTGTTCTCTGTTGGGTAACTGCTGCGATGATGTCTCAGTCGATCAAGTAGAAGGTAGTAGATTGCTGTGTAATGGTCGTACGAGTCATTTCGCAGAGCCTGCAGCAGAGAGAAGATGATACAGCTCCTGCCATGATGTCATCAATATAAACAGTGACTTACACCTATCTAAAGTTAAGGCTATATACAAGCATACTGGTACAACCTGGTTCTGAGAGTATTAAATGGAGTTATCTCCCTTTAACTGCTCACATGGATTCCAATGTATGTTATTTTTGTTTTTACTTCATACTTGTTGATTCATACTTGATGTAAAGGTTAATGTTTTTTTGTAGCTGAGGAAAACATAGTTCTCACTCACTCACACACTCACACACACACACACACACACAGACACTAACAGAACTCATAAATTACATCCCCTTCACACACTAACAGAACTTACATCCCCCAAATGCACTCACAGAAGTCACACACACACCACACGCAATCTTACATTCAATTAACTCACATACCATCACCACACACACGCATGCACGCACACACGCATGCACACACACACACACCACTAACAGAACTCATAAATTACACCCTCCCACACACACTAACAGAACTTACATCCCCCCAAATGCACTCACAGAAGTCACACACACACCACACGCAATCCCACATTCACTCAATCACTGACACACACTCACAGAACACACATCCCCCACACAACTCACACACACTCACAGATGTCAACACCCCTTGCACACTCACAACTCACATACGATCACCACACACACGCATGCACGCGCACACACACACACACCTAAGCCACACCTCACCAAGGCTACATAATGTCACAAATTAAGACTGATAGGTGGACTTGAGACCCACCTCGCTGCTGCCTTACTCTTCTTGCCACTATCCTTGACTCCCCACCTCCCCCATCACTCCTCCCTACCTCCATCGTCTTCTTCTGGTCAATGCCGAGACTCTGCATGATACGGAGAATCTGCTCATTGAACTCCCCAACCTTGGCGTTGTATCCGATGATGGGACTAGGGGGTGGTTGTTTGGGCTGCCCCCCATCCAGCTGCATCCACCTGTGGTTCTTGATTTGTTCCATTGTGAAGCGCTTGGCTGGGTCCAGCACCAACATCCGCCGGATCAGATGCTCACACTCTGAAACAATTCAGTTCACAGTGGTTAATAAAGTCAGTGTGCGAAATAGCCACTGGCCTGCTAGTCCATGGCTAGTAAAAATCCATTCGGGCCAGTAAATCGGGCCAGTAAAGTCACTGGCCTGACTGGCTAGTGAATATTCATGGGGTATGGTTTTATGCCGTTTTTAGCAATATTCCAGCAATATCACGGCGGGGGACACCAGAAATGGGCTTCACAAATTGTACCCATGTCGGGAATCGAACCCGGGCCTTCGGCGTGACGAGCGAACGCTTTAACCACTAGGATCCCCCACCACCCCTGCAAGATTACGGCCTGATAAAAATTGCATCATATTAGCATCATGATGATGAAACCCGTGTCATGCCGACAATATCTCCTCTATTTTGGTAATATTTGCTTTGCTTCCACTATACATTCAAATTTCGGGCTAGTGAATTATTTTGTGGGCTAGTAACTTTCAGGCATAACTAGTCTTTGGAAACTATTTCGCACACAGAATACAGTCTATGCACCATCTCAAAAGACTAATGGCCCTACACTCCCCCAACACCCTTTAGAATGCTGATACATTTTTTTACAACCATGGTGAGAGGAATGAAAGAATGGCTTGCCCTTGAGGCAATCAATCACTATATCAGTAACCGTCACACGAAGCTGACATTTCTGGGCAGGGGTGATTGATCTTTGCATCATGTAAAGCGATTTCGCTTTGTTCATCAGGTTTTGATATAATAACAAGTAAAGACTTCTGCTGCACTGCATTTATCAATTTCATCATCACTGGCCAAATGAAACACTGTCAGTTTCCATTGTATTACTACTGCATTCAACAAACAAGGTGTTTTAGATTGGACTTATTATATGGTAGTTACAGGGAAATTTATTACACAAAGAATCAGCACATCCTGGTAATCAAAGAGATGCAATTCTGCACAGATAATTGTGGCACCACACACTGGTCAATATCATACATACCACTTTAATATTACCACACACTGACCAATGCATACATACCACTTTAATATTATCACAGACAAAAGACAAATTAAATACTCATTCTTAATACTCATCACTGATTATTACTTAGGGCTGGGTATTGCAGAGAATTTTCATATTGCGATGCGAAAGCATATATTGCGATATGTATTGCTATATATTGCAAGAAGTATTTTTAACACAAAACTACTTATAATAGGGTTAATGCTTGATTTATAAAGCATGAACGCAACAAAATCACAATGCTTGATTAAGCTTTATTAGAAACTTTTAATCATGACAAAAATATAAATGTAAATAATATTTGGCACAAACGAAACAAGGAAATATCCGAAGATTTCCGAGCGTTACGAAGTTTTCTGAATGCAAGTCAAAATACCGGTTTTCGATCAGCGTATCGCAATACGTATCGTTTTCATGTCTGAACAGGTAAATACCGGTAAACCGGTTATATTGCGCAGCCCTATTATTACTACAGGAATACTGACAAGCCTGCCAGTGAAAACAGACAGAATGCTGTCATAGTGTTTCCACGAGACGATTTTCAGCAGGGTACAGCACCCTGCCTTTCACATTGGCGCCTTGCCTTTCTTTTTAATACAATAACTGATATCAACACTTGGAGGTTTTTAGTTTCTATTTCATGTTGAAGTTAAGTGATATAACTGAACAGAGTCTTTAAGAATCATATGCATGGTTAACTTAACATAATACATGGCAATCTGATAGGGGTGACCCTTTTGAAATTCTGTTGTCCAGCCCTTTTGGGATCCTGGGGAAAACACCATGTAAGACAAGGGACACCAACCTGTTGACATGAAGAAGGGGATCCGGAATCGTCCTGACAACACACGGTCCCGCAATGTCTGCAAGTTTGGACCATCGAACGGCGGCAGAGCTGGAACCAAACATACAGAACATATCACACAGACCAGAACATACAGCACAACCCCCAGGCTCTGGAACACAAACATACAGAACATATCACACAGAGTGCCGCAGACCAGAACATACAGCACAACCCCCAGGCTCTGGAACACAAACATACAGAACATATCACACAGAGTGCCGCAGACCAGAACATACAGCACAACCCCCAGGCTCTGGAACACAAACATACAGAACACATGCCATGATTGCACCATGTAAGAGGTGACTAACGGGATCGGGTAGTCAGGCTCGCTGACTCAGTTCACACACGTCATTACCGTATACCGGGAAATTTTCAAGGTATTAAAATTTCGAGGTTTGAGACCCCCAGAGCTTTCGAGGTGATTTAAATTTCGAGGTTTGGGGACCTAAAATATGTAAATATTTTAGACAATGTTAATTTCGAGGTTAGAAGAAAGTGGCTAGAAACATCACTTAACGGACCAATACTCACTGAGCTATCGGCAAAACTTCCATTAGCCAGTGATAACTGCCGTCTGACTGTTATAACAACCGGTATACCAGTCCATGACAACAAACGTTTGATCCTTTGTTATGATAAATGGCCCACGAAACACTCTGTCGGCGTTCAAACATGACGCCATTTTTTCTCAGACGATATTGTTTTCTTAACAACTAATTATAAGCATGTTTGCATGGGTCTCTGCTGAAACTATGTTGTTGTTAGAAAGCTGACAAGTTGAACTCTTTTGTTTACGATAGTGTATACATGTAAGTAGCTTGACTCAAACGTGCCATCGCACGAATAAAAGTTTGTTTCAGTCGATGTCGTTACATTTTGACGAGACAAAATGAGTCTAATAGCGTGGTTGTTGACAGGCATTGCAGAGATAATGCGCATGTCAGGAAGTCATTGTTTGCCAGCAGTTGAAATGCTTATCGATAGGAAATCTAGCCCAAAGGTACGAAGTTCGGAAAAATTCGTGGATATAATATTTTCGAGGTTGCGTTTCTAACCTCGAAAACCTCGAAAATTAGATACCTCGAAAATTTCCCGGTATACGGTATGTCCCAATTGCGTAGATTGATGCTCATGATGTTGATCACTGGATTGCCTGGTCTAGACTCCGTTATTTACAAACCAGCGCCATATAGCTGGAATATTGCTGAGTGCGGCGTAAAACTAATTATTACTCGCCCGTGGAAGATACTGCAGTGTAATATTTTTACGGCAATACCGCTAGACGTATGACATCATAATGGTTACAGTTATGACGTCACAGTACTAATACCTCCATCACAATGATATTACTTGCTTGACTCGTAGAAAGCTGAGAGTCATCACACTTTGTAGGCAGTTTCTATCAGTTTATGTTGGAGAGTAATAAACAGAATACTAAACTCGCTTCCGTGAAATACCATTTTTATTAAACTCATGAAAGATTTAGCATCAAATCATTAACATTCGCATTTAATAAAAATGGTATTTCACGGAAGGTCGTTCAGTATCCTCTATCTCACTCACGAACTGTTCATTTATGCTGCAGTCAGCCTTTAAGCAGGCTGTGCTTCATACTTCAATCAATTAGGGGACACGTACCCAGATGTCTATTTGAGGTCCAAGGTACTTTTTGCCCTCGAACACCTCTGGAGCTGCATAGGGGGGACTTCCACACCAGGTCGCCAACTGCTCACCCGCTTTGAAGAAATTACCAAAACCAAAATCTGAAAGAGACGAGGTATATTGTGCTGAGAGATGATTGTGTAAATTAAAAACACACTAGTATTGCAAAAGGCACCTGCTGTCAGTAATTCTGAAAAACTACCACCATCACCATCTTCTTCATTTCAGTGACAGTCAATAAAATGAGAACGGATAATTAACATCATGAAACTTGGGATTGAAAACTTACATTACGTAAAAATGTCAACAATAATTCTGAAAGAATATTCAAGACTGACTGACTGAGTTTGGTTTTACGCCACTTTTAGCAATATTCCAGCAACATCACGGCGGGGGACACCAGAAATGGGCTTTACACATTGTACCCATGTGGGGATTGAACCGGGTCTTTGGTGTGACGAGCCAACGCTTTAGCCACTAGGCTACCCCCCAGTATATGTATTGAATACACAATGCCATTTAGAAAGTGGTCAATATTCAAGAACATACAGTGAAAGTGGCTTGAACATTCCATTGTCATCCTTTTGTATTGGTTGTGGACAAAGACATTTGTACAACCATGAACAGAATTACGTGTTTCTTGCACCAACAGGGCAGTGGGGTAGCCCAGCGGTTAAAGCGTTCGCTCATCATGCCAAAGACCTTGGTTCTATTTCCCACATGGCACAATGTGTGAAGCCCATTTCTGGTGTCTCCTGCCATGATATTGCTGGGAATATTGCTAAAAGAGGCATAAAACTTAACTCGCTCACTCATTCTGCTGCATTATACAAACTATTGACAGTTGATATTAACTCACCTGCAATCTTGATGTTCATGTTGCCATCCAACAGAAGATTTTCCGCCTGAGAAATAAAAGAAACTGTGTTAGAACACTTAAAAAAAAGGTCTCTATTATTTTCATTGTAGTCAAATAATACGCTTGAAAAGAAAAATCCTCAATCTGAAAAGGTTATCAATCTTGCATCTCCTGCATGACCTTCATTTCACACAGGTCTAATATCAATATCTTGACATCACAATCAGTATATCATGTATAGCGATCTTCATCATTTCACACAGGTCTTATATCAATATCTTGACATCACAATCAGTATATCATGTATAGCGATCTTCATCATTTCACACAGGTCTTATATCAATATCTTGACATCACAATCAGTATATCATGTATAGCGATCTTCATCATTTCACACAGGTCTTATATCAATATCTTGACATCACAATCAGTATATCATGTATAGCGATCTTCATCATTTCACTTCATCAATATCTTGACATCACAATCATCATGGTCTTCATATATCAATATCTTGACATCACAATCAGTATATCATGTATAGCAATCTTCATCTTCAGGTCTAATATTATCATCACATGTAGGATCTTCATATCAATATCTTGACATCACAATCAGTATATCATGTATAGCGATCTTCATCATTTCACACAGGTCTTATATCAATATCTTGACATCACAATCAGTATATCATGTATAGCGATCTTCATCATTTCACACAGGTCTAATATCAATATCTTGACATCACAATCAGTATACCATATATCCTGATCTTCTTCAGCTCACACAGGTCTAATATCAATATTCTGACATTTATTGCGTGACCATCAATTATCAGTTTGATCATCATGCCCCACAGTCGTTATCAACATCACAAGCTGCTGAAATGCAGAAATATTATCAGTATTAATGAAGATCACAATCAGGCTTGTGTCTAAACAACCGACTCAGCAAAATTTCAGCAGCTGTGAATAATATTTCCAGGGGTGGAAATAACTTTAAAATTTATAGTGTATTCGGTACAGTGGCACATGTAAAGTCACTTAACCTGATAATTTTCCCACTATACCGACCGTTTTCTTGCTGATTTTTTAAATAAATAACATAATTAACATTGGAAACTCAACTGGACACTGGTACAGTGTGATATACAAATTTGCTTGCCCAACAGAAAAAAACACTGGACTCGGACGTCGGGCAATGGGTTATTTCCACCCCTGATTTCTATTTGAAACATCGCAGTGTATGAGCATGATGTCCAACTTGATCAAGGATAGAACTTTCCCTTTTTAAAAGAGTCATCACAAAGAGTTTGGGAGTGGACTTCGAGTGTGACAATAGAGGCTATTCTCTTTAACCATCTTCAAGCTCAGTTGCTGTCACCTTATCATGAACAAGCAGGGTTTTACCTCGACTAAGGCTTAGTCTCTAATTATATATAAGGGTTTGCAGGATAGTAAGTAAACAAACCCATTGATATATTGAGCAAAGGCCCAGGTCCAAATCAGGGAGACCAGAGATTCAGAAGCCCTGATGGGTGAAATCTAGAGCTTGACTTTATTTAGGGCTTCAGTAGTACTGCAGAGAGGGCTTAGGCAGTAGTTTGGAAAATTAATGTGGTTCATGGGACTGTTGAGACAGACTAGGTTTTACCTCGACTCACAAACATGGGAGTCAACCCTAATAATAATTAATTTTAAGGGTGCTTTTGGAGGCATTATAAGACTTCCTATTATTATTATTATTATTATTATTATTAATTAGAGCCAGAATGAATCATTGATCATGTGGACTGATGGATGATCTGATGTATGTAACTTCTCTGAAAGACACAACCAAACAAATAGCAAAGTCATAGATGCGTTGTGCGTACAATGAATAATATTGTGCATTCCCCTGGATGAAGTGTATTTTTTTTTCTGCATCCATTTCCTACATTTGTGCGTCTTGGACGCACAAATTTGGGACCCTGAGCAAGACAACAAACAGTCATAACTTGGTTTTCCTTTCATTAACTTTGATGACACTCTTTTATATTTTCCAAAATATATTTTGAATCCTACTGTGGCAGCATGTTCACATGATGTATTATCATGCTGTTGATCACTGGATTGTGTGGTCCAGACTGGATTATTTACAGAACGCTGCCATATAGCTGGAATGTTGCTGAGTGCAGTGTCAATTAAACTTACTCACTCACTCACATGTTGTATTGTGTGTTCACATAACATTTTTGTTTAATTACAATTACTTATGTCCCTGGTAAATACAAACAACACTGATTCCACGTCAACGTCCCTGTCACTTCTACAGCGGTTTGTGTCACTCACACAACTGAGATGGTACGAGCGGGGCACAGACTCTCCACTCTGTTATTGATCCTAGCGTTGCCTCAAGGACCTGACCAACCAACGACCTCAGAGTTGATATATTGAGGTCACGTTTTACGTCATTCTCCGTAACCACGACGATCTGCTACTGTACTGAATTAAGCCAAATGAAATGGTCTACACAACAAGGAAAATCCAAAAATCAAATGCCAGTGATTCCAAAGAGGAGTATAACACTCTTAAGAGAGTGAACGCCAAAGAAGCATAAAGGGAGATAAATAATGGCCCCCCTTTGGTTAAATTGTGAAATATCTGCCACATAAGAACATTTTGTGACACTTTGGTGTACGATTAGCTATTAAGGTAACCCTGATCAACACATCATCCTGTTCAGCCCAACACATCATCCTGTTCAGCCCAACCCAGTACAGACAAGGCTCTGACATAATCATATCATATTGTATTGTGTGTAGCAGGGATAGAAACCTTTCAAAATTTCCCACTAGACCACAGGACCAGTGAGTGGACAATAGTAAGTGGTAGTGTCTGTACTTCACTGCAGGGGTGGAAATAATTTAAAATTGCTAATGTACTCCGGTACAGTGGCACATGTAAAATCACTTGCCCTGATAATTGTTCAACTATACTGGCTGATTTTCTTGTTGACTTTTTAAATAAACGACATAATTAACATTGGAAAGTCAACTGGACACTGGTACAGAGTGACATACCAATTTGCTTGCCCGACAGAAAAAAACACTGGACTGGGGTGTCGGGCAATGGGTTAATTCCACCCCTGCACTGGTCCAAAATAACATTTGTAGATTTACGTAACTATCAATACAAAATTCATTGGCCACCAGGACCACTGCAAACTTATCATTTAGTGGTCCTGATGAATTTTTACTAGCCAGAGACCACAGGACCAGCATAAATTTCACACACTGTGTAGGCAAAACTGAAAACAGATGTGTGAAGAAAAATGTTCAACTTCTTCACAAGGGATTTGTTCTTCACATCCATAGGACTGTCATTTCTAACGAAGTAGTTAATTAGGGTGAGAAAATTTGACTGGGATGCCAAAAAAGTCATTTAAATATGTTCTGGAAATGATGGAGATCCTCAAGACTTAATCCCATCACTTAAACCTCAACTTAACCTCAACTTCAAAGCTAGGGACCATAAAAACCAAATGCAGAAAAAAATGAATATTTGATTGAAACAAAATATTCTCTCAGCAAAAATCTGTAGTATTGTCGGTCTGGAACCTGGGACAAGAAATGTCTCAATATTTCAGATCACAAACATTCATAATTTGTAAATACACTTATCAAATCAATCCAACAACAAGAAAAACGGATGTTTTACTTTCCGCCAGCAGGTGTGAAACATTCTTACATGAACATTCCCTGCTTCAACATTCCCACTTACAGCAACAACGTCGAAACGATTTTATTTGACAAAGTGTCAAATCCACAAAGAGACTTTCTGTATGAAGATTCAAGCTGCCAGAATCAAACAAACCAACAATTAAAGGATTGTTTAGTGAGCGAAGAGTCAACACTTGCTGGTATGGCCGGAGTGTCTCACATGTGCGTCAGCATTCACACTATGCTGCATGTTCCCTTCCAACTATCTCACTTAAAGTGTCTTTTGTAAAGTAAAGGGCATCTGAGTAGTAATGATTATTGCACGATAGGCCATAATAATAAACAAAGCACCTCCGGAAATGCTGGAAATGTATAGGACACTCAAACACTGGTGGTGGTGGTAGTGGTAGTGGTAGTGGTAGTAGTGAAATTGGGTTTAATGTCGTGCTTGAGAATATTTCGCTCATATGACGACAGTGGTAGTGGTAGTGGTAGTAGCAGTGGTAGTAGTAGTAGTGGTGGTGGTAGTGGTGAGGTGAGGTGAGGAGGTGAAATTGGGTTCAACGTCGAGCTTGAAAATATTTCGCTCATATGACAGTGGTAGTGGTAGTGGTAGTAGCAGTGGTAGTAGTAGTACTGGTAGTAGTAGTAGTAGTAGTAGTAGTAGTAGTGGTAGTACTAGTAGTAGTAGTAGTAGTAGTAGTAGTAGTAGCAGTAGCAGGAATAGTGGCAGTAGCAGGAATAGTGGCAGTATACCTAGTGGCATTTGTTAGTAGTAGTAGTAGTAGTAGTGGTAGAATATCAAACCCATATTGCAATATCATTTTATTGCCCTTAGAGAAGTAATGTGTTCTCATGACTAGTGAGGGCGGGGCTGGTCATCATCAGCAGCCTTACTACCTGCTGTCACCCTAGATAACAGCTGGTCTCAGAAATGCACATATTTTACAGAATTTTTTTTTTTATGTTAATACAATATATTAAAAAGGAACCCAGAGACTTTCTTCCTTTTCAAATTGTGAATCTACACTTGCCACACATTGCAGCCTTGCATAGACTGTATTGGGCATGTTTGTTTCACGGGTGGATCCAGGACTTTGGAGAAGTGAGGATGCACGTATATCAGAAAGTCATGAAGTCCAAAAGGTTAGGGGGTAATACTTCTATGGGAATGTTTTTTCAAGAGGCAAATTTGGGGGGTGGGGGGGGTGGTGGTTTGGTTGATGATGATGACCCCCACACCTCCCTTCTGGATCCACCCCTGACTGTATGACATACTACTATCACCCCTGTAGGTATTGTAAAAACAACCGTATCTCAGTAACCAGTCAGGGCCGGCTGGCCTG